AGTATGGAATTAGTGAGATAATTTAGTTAGAATAATTTTTTCTTAAAGCTGTACCTAAAAATACAGCTCAAAAACCCGAATATAATAAAATACAAATATCTTTAAGTGAGTTAGATGTAATTCATCGCATATTATATATTTTGAGAATATTTCTGTTTCTTTAGGATAATGGTGGAGTATTAATTTTTTCCATATTTAGTAATATTTTTTGTGCCCCCCCCCCTTAAGATATTTTTTTTCGGCAATTTGCTCAAACATTTTTTTCTCCTACTATTTTATTTAGATATCAATTTTGGGATGTAATTATTACAGGGTTATAGAATCTAAAGAACTTATCAAATTCTGAGAATTTTGAATATATTTTTATTAGAATATGTTATAATAATATCTTTGAGCATCTTCTTCTGATGATTTGGCGATCTTGAAATTTTTGATTCAGATCGGAAAAGCTGTTCGTTTTTTTAACCTTAGAGTCTATTTTCAATTTTTCTAATCCTCCCCAAATTTATCGATTTTATATGAATAACTTGTTCCTACTGCCTCCATGTAACTGCCGATAAGGTCATGAGTAAAATTTACTAATTACGAATAATCCTTTTCAAAACAATTATACCATTTTGTGAGACAAGATTTATTTAAACAATTAAATATTGACAAAAATTAGAAATTCTTTCGAGTTAGAGCTTTCTCTTTTCCTAATTTGCCTAAATTATTTTTCGATAGAATTGCCAATTGGGGTTCAGAGTATTAGATCAGTGCTATCAAGTTATCTAGCAAATCCGATGCTCGATATATTAGTTATTTCCTTTGAACTACATTTTTACAAATTATAACAGTAATGTGACAAATCAGAAGAAAAATTATTTAAAAATTTTTTTTTTTTAAATTTAGGCGACGGCTTAGCCGTTATGAATATCGGAAGGAAGCCGGCACGTTTTCCTTAAACGGCGAAGTTTTCGGTGTGATCTAAAATAACGGTAGCAAGTTAAAGCACAGGTCTAGAGATATACTTTGAGGATATAATTAGTTCCGAATCATTTTAAAAACATTATTTTTAGCAGAGAACCTGCCAAAGATTATTTAATACGTATATAGACCAGATTTGAAAAAAATGTTATTCTTAAATCCTATTTTTCGGTTCTGCCAGCATTTATGTAAACCAATTTTGATGCCTCTGGGCGATTACGGATGCTGAATTAATATTAGAAAAAAAAATTGTTTATAAAAAATTATATAATAAAATATAATTTCCCATAATAAATTTAAGTGTTTTCTTTGAAAAACATATCCTTTTTCCCTCTTAGTATTTTTTTTTAGTAGAAAATTTTATTTTATATCCTATTCACTAATAATCATTTCGTATTATAAATGAAATTTTATCATGTAATTTTTGTCAAGATTTGTGAACATCAAATGGGAAAAATTTAACGCAATCAAATAGTTTTCATTAAGTTATGTGTAAGACATCATAAAAAAAAAATTAAATTCGACAACTTTTCACTTATTTTATCGAAATAAAAACGAAATAAATCTTTGGCTTAACATATTTCTGAATTCTTCAGGAATTTATAATTAGGGTTTCCTTAAGTTTTTATTATTTATTGAAACAGGCTTTATAAAGAAAAATTTATTTCTTATTTTTAGTATGAGATTTTTGTATTTTACAAATTAATAAATCACGATTGATGACAATTTATTCTTGGAATAAATTATCGAGAATTAACTTGAATGGAAGTCGACATGTCCAAAGACAGGGCAAAAAGTATTTTGGTTAGGCAACTTACGCAAAATTTTTATTTTTAACGGATGGGTCTAGGGTTTCACATATTTTTAAAGATAATTATGCATTAGTTTTCCTTAAAAATATAATATGGACCCAACGGCTGACCCTTTTGAGTGAATTTCTTGAAGTTAGTAATAGGTTTTTTGTTTGGATAGGTTTTGATATTGAATGTATCTACACTTGAAATATAGCAATTTATATTTGCTAACCTGCGTTGTTCTATAATTATTATTAATTTTTGTTTAATAATCTTAAAAACATTTAAAAAAATGAGAATTATTTAGTTAATAAAAAATTAAATAACTACAAATTAAGATTTTTTTTTTAGTTAACAATTATGAAGACAATTTTAAATCCTTTTCCTAATCATCATAAATTTTATAAAACGAAGCCTATATATTTATATATATATATATATATGGTCAAAAAAAATTTGAATAGAAATTTTTTGATAGAATTATGGTTCCTTATTGGGAACACCAATTATGAAATTATATATTTATTTTCGATGGTCATTTTATAGTGATTTAATTTTATATTGTTTTAATTAGGGTTAGGCTTTAAATATTTAGACAGAAATTTTTAATAAACAATTTAAAATAAAATAATAAAATAATAAAAACTAAAACTAAAACACGCATGATAAACAAATTTAAGTCGTAACAACATCCTATTAGTTAAAAAAATTCTTAATTTTTAACTAAAGGTAAACGTACTCAAAAACATCAAGCGATTATACAATAAAAAAAAATTATAAATTTTTATAAAATCTTTTGTTTATATTTATAATTTTTTCAATAATATTAATGAAATGAAATAGAAAAATATTTTTTATCAAATATTATGAGGAGTTTTCCTAAATCCCTTCTCGAGTTTATTTCATTGTAAACTGAATAAAACAAGAAAAACAAAGTCAAAAAGGTAAAAGGGGGATCATGTAAATAATATTCTGACAAATATACAAACAAATAAGCCCTTATTTAGGGCTTGATTGATTTAAAATTAGATCAACTCTGAAAAATTATATCAATTTTATTGACCAATGTCTTTTTACGAAGATATATTTTTTTTTATATGGGATCGCAAAAATCTCCCCCCAAAAATTTTTATATAATCTATTAAGAAATATATTACAATGTTTTTGCATGATTGATCTTATGGTTCAGTGTTCTGTATTAGAATTTCATTTTTAAATAAGCTTGAGTTAATTTTAAATATCATTTTTAAATAAGCTCGCGTTTATTTTTAAATTTATGACTTTCAACATATCCAAGGAATTCGAGTCATTCAGCTTATTTAAATATGCAAAATATGTTTAAAATGTTGGTTTCAGCAGATTCAAAAATAAATGATCAGAACCTGCCTTCTCAAAGATGTGGGTTAAAATTAGTTTACTTTTATGTATTTATATATACTGGGAGACAAATGGTGGCTAATGCCGAAGCCAAACTATGCTTCATCAATTAATTTTAAGAAAATTTTCTCTTCTTTTTAATAAATAATTTTTCAAAATGATTTTCATAAATTCCGGGCCGGGCCGAATAAAATGATCAAAAATAAATCCCATTAAAAAAACCTAGAAAAAGAATACCGAAAACCTTCATTTTTGTATTAGTTAATAGGATAGGAGTATGCAGTTTAACCTTATTTTGTATATGCTGCAATTATGTGTTGTATAATACTCAACTTCTACAGGTTTCTGCTTATAAATCGAAGAAAATCAAATATTACTTTTTTTTTTAACAAACAATCGCGTACTCAACATTTTATTAAGTACATCCAAAAGTAAATATTTTGTAATTTTTTCATCTTAGTTATTAAAGCATATAATATATATAAAAAAATTTTTAACCTCGATTTCTAAAAAACATTGGGCCAAAATAATAACTTATAAAATATATATATTTTTTTTAAGATTATATATATTAAAAATTTTTTCAATTCATATTACGATTTTAAATATTTTCGACCATGTTATCAAAAAATTACTTCTACAATCTACTATTCCTAAGCTCGATATGCTTTTCTATGATGGATCTGAAGAATGAAAGTTTAATGAGTAAGAAAAAAAATAGTCTTATATTAATATATTGTTATTAGAAATTTTGATACAACAATTTATTATAAAGAATAATATAAAAATTTTATTTGATTTTATAAAAATAAACGGTGACATTTTACTTTATCAATTTAATTTATATGCTGAAAAAATATAGTTGATGTGATTGAACAGGATTTAATTTATTTTTTTAACAGTTTTATATAATTGATTTTCTATGATAGGACTAGTTAAAAATATGAGAGGGGTAATATTATATATTTTTATTTTATAATTATTATTTACGCTTAATCTATTTCTAAATAAATATAGTATCACCACCTAATGAAATGTATTGTAAAATTGGAAAGGATTCAATTTATGGCCTAAAAAATTTTGCACTCGAGTTAGTGAAAAGTAATAACACCCACTTGTATAAGATAAGAGGTAGATTCTTACCTCATGAATCGATGAACCATGAAGATTCAATCAAATATTTTTATACACTGTATAAATATGTGGATTTAGAACGTACATCTGTTCTTAGAAATATATCTATCAAATCCGAAAAGGTTATAATCTGTAAAATTTATAAAATGATGATTATCAATATATATATATGTACCTAATTTTCCTTTAAATAAAAAAGCAGTACCATTTTCTAATTGATAATTTGGTGAAATTTGCAACATATTCCATAGAAGTTTCATTCCAACACGAAAATGTTATAATTAATCAGTTTTCTGTTGTGCAAACATTCAAATGTAATTAATAAATATATATATATACAGTTATCTATTCATTTGTTTGTCTGTGTAAAATAGAATGTATTCTTTGGATATGCCAGTTCATATTTTGATTCTAAACATAAATAAATATTCTATACTATAACAACATTTCGACTTGTTTATATTTGTATTTTGATGATAAATACTGATATCTAATATTACTTTACCAAACCTTATCAAAGAAAATAGCTTTATAAGAGGAAAATTTGAGAAATAGAAATTTATTTTTAATTTTGATGATAAAATCTTATCGTGTTTTCAATAATATAATTTTGAAAGTTTTTCGAATTAAATTTTTTTGTTGTTTTGGAGATAGGACGGAGCCTAACAAAAACTATTTGATGAATTTAAATTTTTCCTATATTTTTTTTTATTAATTTGTTATTCACGAATTCTAATGAATTTTTTCGAATGATAAAATTAATTTAAAAAAAAGTGTAAAATTATATTTTATTATAAATTATTTTTACAATCTATTACAGATGAAATGGAACCAAATTGTATCGCAAAGGGTATGTATCAATGAAAAATATCATATATTTTTTACATTGCTAATACGATTAAGCAGAGTTGTTAACGCTCCTTTTTAAAAATAGCTAGCTCCCGCTCCCGCTACTATCCCACTCCCGCTACCACATTTTTAAAAGGAGCTAGCTCCCGCTCCAAGTAATGGAGTGCCACTCCAAAACCGCTCTTTTGATTTTCATTTTTTTTAGAAGGTTATACGAAACAAAATCATATTTTTTTTTTATCAAAAAGTTTTATTTATATTAAATGATCTGTCAAAATATTTATAACCTTTTATTAGCTTTTAAAAGTAATAAATTTTCTAAATTAGAATCTAACGAACATCCACCTCCCCCCTAAGACCTGTTTTGCAAACTAAATAGGCACACAGGAGCACTAGAGGGAAGCAGGGTAATTGTTTTACATAAAGATATTTTTTATTTCAGGGAATTTATCAAAAATAGTGTCCAATATATTATCCTCCTGATGATAAATTTCGTGGAATCCAAAAAAATCTTCAAAATTAATTTGTATTTAGAAGAAAGATTTTTTTACTTCTAGATGCTTTTTTAGATTGAAGCGGCTCACTTTTGTAAATTAAATAGTTTTATTTAAACACAAAAGAAATTTTGCCCTTAAATTTGTTTGATCATTTGGATCAACATCTTTTAGAAGTTTAAAATATTTATGATGGAAATGGAAATTCGATTTCTTAATCTATGATCTCTAAATCTATAATATCAATATTTTTTATTAATTCCTCTTCTGATATATGATGGTAAGGGGGGTCTGAGCATGCTCATGATGTTGAACTTAGGAATAAAAGATCTACATTTTCTGCCGCGATGATCATTTATCTTCGTAGGGAGTTTATAGTATAATCCTTTTGGTCAGCTGATAACTTGAAGAATAAAAGTGTTTTGTGTGGGTTGTGTCTAATATTCGGGGACAAAGCCCGAATCGATTTTTAAAAACGGCCCAATCAGGCAATAGCCAAAATAATATTATGCAGTAAGCCTGGAGATTTTACATATGGATAGCAGAATTGTTTGTATTTCTATTTTCCAAATATCAAGACATACCTAATATTATTTTGGCGGAATCTTAATTGGACCCAAAACTCGACCCAAATAGAACTTTTTAGCAACATTAGACCAGGCTCATATTAAAAGCAAATCAAAATTATAATATCAATGAATCAGTTGAATCAATCATATGATTAAACGTTCAATAATTCTTTTACTTCTCATATATTTTTTTTAATTTTTCTCCTTTAAAAATAATTAAAAAAAAAAAACAATCATAATGATTCCAAATAAAAAGATTTCAAAGATTTTGGCCGGAAAAATAATCAAATATAAATCCCGGCAGAGCCGAGATAATAATACAGGACGGGTTTGAGAGTGGGATTTTTTTTTCCAACCCTATTTGGGTCGTGCAATAAGCCACCTTTAAAGGTTTCTGCTATTTTTTTAAAAATCTTATTTACAATCGATTCTCTAGTGCTCGACAAAACTCTCTTTGGTGTAGAGAATGAGGCCTCACAAGAAGCTGGTGAACCCAATGACGATGGCTACTGATAGCATTTATACGATTCTTTAAATGCAAAATGAATTTTTCAAAATTATCAACTTCTGCAGCTAGTAATCCTTATGCTATTTTCATTTCATGGTGTTACATTTCCATATTTAAATTTTATAATGATATCCAAGTAGCTACTTTATTTGATATAAAATCAGGATCGGGGGAGGGGGGGGGCAATGTATTAAAATATGATAGTAGATTATGATCATCTTGTGCAAAACTATCTAAAAAACGATCTACAAATTAATCGATAATTATTTTTAAAGAATTCCAATTGAAGTCCGTTTTACAATAAAATTGCAATTTGGTATAGACTAAATAATCTTAAAGATTTGTAAGCGTTTTACGTACCCCTGATAGTTTTCACAATCTGATGCATCTTTTATCTTATCAGTTTTAAGTCATTCCTTTTGTTATATTTTTTTTGAGATATATTCCAGCACCATATCTGAAGATATGACTTCGTTTTAAATTTAGGGTGAAGTATATTGTGCAATTTTAGAAATTAATTTATTAATTTTTATTAAATTCTCTTTTTGGATGGTGTATGAAAAAATTTCTATAAAAAGTCCAGAAGAATAAATTATATTTTCATTCTTTTGCAGCATCATTGTTTATTGAACTAGCTCAGCAAGAAGGTAGGTACTGTATGCTAAGAAATAGCATCAAATCAAATAGTGATTTAATGTAATAACGATTAAGGTTAATTTGCTGGCTTAATATAATTATTATCAGTATCTTAACTATAGTAAGATTTTTATCATGCCATATCGTGAATTATTTAAATTAGTTTTCTAGCAGTCCCTTCTTTGCAGCTAACGCATTTTTCCAATTTTTAATCCCTTCCATTCAAATTCGTCACTTGGGCTAAAATTGTATTTCATACATCAAAGACAAAGAGCAGCATCACCTTCTACATTGTACTCCAACCAGTCTTGACCTCTATGATTTTTTGATATGATCTTAACCTTCCATGAATATCTTCTTTTATCACGTAATTGGTTAATTTGATATTTTTTTTGGTTCATACTAGCCAAGGTCACCTGGGATTGGAATTGAACTTTAAAACATTAAAGGATTTTTAAAATGGAAAGAAAAGAATCTTAAATAGATAATGAAAATTAGTGATTGACAAATATAAAGGAAAGGACATGTTTATTTTTAAAAAGGCCGACTATGTTCGTGGACCAAGAAATTTTTTTTTTGGGGGGAGGTCATGTGACTACGGCCCTGGGCATATCTATAATTATTTTTTTAACTCTCTATCTAAATAAAAATTATGCAATTACTAGAAAAGATTTTTTTTTTTATATTATATAATATTATATCTTTTTTCTTTTAATTTTTTTTCAATTTATATACGATGTAAATTTTTCGACTATTTTATCAAAAAAATTACCTTCTACAAATCTTCTATTCCTAGGCTTGATATGCTCTGCTACGATGGATCAGAACAATGGAAGTTTAATGAGTAAAAAAAAGAAGTCTTATATTTATAATAAATTATTTCAAAATTTAATATAATTAATTTAGTCGAAATAATATAAGAGTTTATTTTGATTTATAATTAAATACATTTTAATAATTTATTATATGCTTGATAAATAACGTAATCGAGATTGTTTATGAATTTATTACGATTTCGTGTAATTGATTTCTTTGATTGGAAATAGTTAACAAACTGTAAAGTGACAATATTATATGTTTTTATTTTTTTAAATTATTTACGCCTAATCTATCTAAATAAAATATAGTATTACCGCCTAATGATATCTACTGTAAAATGGGAAACCATTCAATTAGTGTTATAAAAAATTTTGCACTCGAGTTAGTGGAAAGTAATAACAACGGCACGTATAATTTAAGTGGAAGATTCTTACCTCGTGAATCGTTGATCCCTAAATATTCTATCAGATATATATTGTATAAAAATAAGGGTGAAATTAACTCAGCCATTAGAAAATCTTCTATCAAATACATCTCCAAAAAGGTTATTTCTTTTTTCTTTTTTTTTAAAAAAATATAGAATTATCTAAGAAACTTATAAAATGTGATGATTATTTATATATCTATTTATATATATTTTTTTCTTCTTTAAAATAAAATAGGAACAACATCATCGATTTACAATAGAAAATTTACAACAAAATTTAACATATTTCATAAAAGTTTTATTTCAACACGAAAATGTTACAAAGTTTTCTCTTATGCAAAAATTCAAATGTAATTAATATATGTTCTTATATATTCATTTATTTAGTTGTGAAAAACAGATTGTATTATTGGTTATGCCATTTTTCTTATTTTATCCCTAAACATAAATAAATACTCTATATTAAGAACAACCTTTTGATTTGTTTATATTTATATTTTGATGATAAATTCCGATATCTAATATTATATTAACCTTACCAGGCCCTACCCAAGTTTTATCTTTTAAAGTGGGAAATTTCGGAAATAGAATTTTTTTTATATTTTATTTGATTATAAAATCTTTTCGTATTTTTGAATTAAATTTTTTGTTGTCTTGGACAGATCCTAATGCAAACTATATGATGATTTAAATTTTTCCCTATAATTTGTTATTCGCGAAGTTTATTGAATTTCAAATAATGATATTCATTCAAATTATATATTTTATAATTACAGATCAGAAATCACCACATTGTGTCAAAAAAGGTATGCATTAACGAAATCAAATTTTTTTTCAATATTCTATATCGAAATCGCATTTTTTTTTCACATTATTAATATGATTTTAAGCAATCTATGATTATCGATTATTTATTCTTTCTCTTTTCCACAAATATAAATTCGAAATACTACACAAACTTGATCGAAACGGCCTATGAAAAAATTATTGAAATATAATGAAACATTTAATATCCATCATTGAGCACTTATATTAATTTCTTACTTTGAAAACAATTTGTATAATTACAACCAAAATGATTCAAAAATGATAAAAAAAAATTTAAAATTCATTGCCGGAACTTAAAAATGAAATCAAAATTTAAACCGGGCTTAGTCATATAATAGATGACATCTACCGATCTCTGTTATAAATCAAACAAATAAATATTTTCGAAAATTTATTTCTGACTTAAATTTTACTGTGCATAATCAACTTTTTATCATGCCCATATAAAAGAAAGTATATTTTAAAATTCGTTAATATTTCTATAGCGCATATCTGTAAAATAAAATTAACATAATTCTGATGATATTTACGTCTAAGTAAATCACTAGAAAAAAATGTTTTTTTTGAGATTATATATCATTCATTCAATTTTTAAATTTTATTTATTTTTTTCAATTTATTTACGATTTGATTTTATGCTATCAAATTGATTCTACAATCTATACTCCTCTGTTTTGATAGGCGATGTCAAGGATCTGGACAATGGACGTGAAATAATAAGTAAAAAAAAGAAGTCTTATATTAATAATTCATGAATTTAGTGTTATTAAACGGCTCATTACACTAAAAAAAACAACCTTAAAATGATATTGTATATGAATTTAAAATTGTATTTTGTTTTAACCATTTTATATATATTGATTTCTTTGATCGGACTAGTTAACAATAGAAATGCGCTCTATATAACAAAATTTTTTGATTTTATAGAAATATTTAGGCACGATTTACTTTTTTAAATAAAATTGTATAGTATTCCAAAGGGATTCAATTCATGGTCCAAGACATTTAACAATCAAATTATTAAGTAAAGATGGCATCGAAGGGATTTATGATGTTATGGTAAGATTCTTACCTCCTAATTCGCAGCATACCATAGAATCTTTCAAGTGTATCTTTAAGAGAATTGGCGAAAATATTGCCCAAACCCAAATTGCCAACTACAATTCCGTAACAGTTATTTCTTAATAATTTTTTTATTAAATATAAAAATTATACACAATATGAATCTCTTATACAAACGATAATTGTTAATCACAAACGATAATTAGTAATACATTCTATATATATTATTTATTCATTTAAAAATAGAAACAAGAAAAATACGAATTTGAATTTAAAAATTTGGAAAGCGATTCTATATATTACCTAAATATAGACACCAAATACAAAAACGATACAATAAATCACATTTCCTCAAGTCGCACATTCAAATGTAAATATTACTTATGCTTTCAATTCGCTTAGATATTGTTAATTCTTGGTAGTGTTCATTTTGAGCCCCATTTTTGAAAACGGTAAACTCAATATTTTATTAGGGAAAATTATTATGAATGCCTTAAGAATTTGCTCGTAGGTGACACAAAACCTTTGAACATTTCTATTTAACGAATTCTCGAGGCTTATAAAATATTTTTCTGGCTAAAATATTGAGTTAGCCGTTTTTAAAAATCTGCTCAAATCCAGCCGTGTTTAACAACACTAGTTCTTAGAATAACGCAAGTTAAACCCCTATAATATAATTGTAATTAACTCTTTCGAACTTATTTATATTTTTTTTATATTATGGTGATAAATAATACTGATATCTAATATTTTAATTAAGCCCTTAATTGTACCCAGGGCCTTTTACCCCAGATATAGCCTTATCTTATATAAGGGGATATTTCAGAGATAAATGTAAAAATGTATTTTTTATAAGATAATAAGCAAATATCGTACGTCTAGAATTGGAATGCTCCACTTGCGCAATTGTTTAAAATGAGAAAATCAACATTAAAGTTTATAATAAAATGTATAAGGAAAAAGTTATGGATAAATTTTGACAATAACTTCGGCAAAATTTAATATTTCTTTTTTAAAATCTACTTTTTATTTATATAAATAAGTTATTATCCACTTCTGACTCAATGGTGCACTCTAATTCTAGAAACCGACGATATATCTTATATATAATTTGGAAGGAAGATATTTTCAGTGAGAAAATATGAAACTATGAGAACGATAAAAAATAAATAGAAAAGGGGAGGGGGATATTGTCTTAATAAATGCTCCTTATTGAGTTTAAAGTTTATCATATCCATGAAACTTAACCTGAATTTTTTTTTTTTTGCTCATTGATTTTTTTTCGCGGGGCATCTTAGAAACAACCAATCCCTTTTTAATTTAATTTATCCCAAGAAAAATAGTATATTTAAAAAACAATGAAAGTAAATAATATTCCCCATCGAAAGAAGCAATAACTTTGTTAATCTAAATAAAAGAGACCTAAAAGATATTTACTATTTTGATTTTATATTATTACTAAAAAATGAAATAAATCTTTTTTTTGGGTATAGCGTCGCCATCAGAACCTTTTTTTTCAGAAATTATCTTAAGAATTTAACTATAAATTTCTGAAGAATTCAGAAATATGTTTTGGCCATATTTTTTTTTATTTTTCTATGTAAAACAAAAGGGATTTATTTTGAGTTTTTCGATAAAATAGTGAAATATTTTTGATGTCTGTCACACAGCAATAAATGAAAACTATTTGATGATTTAAATTTTCCTTATTAATTTTAATGAATTTCATGATAAAATTTATTAAAAAAATTATTTATTATGAAAATTATATTTTATTCTGATTTTTCAAAACAAATCAAATATAAATTACAGTTCAAGAAACAAGTTTTGATGCCAAAACTGGTAAGTATTAATAATTTTTTTAATTTTACCTAATTCATATTGGCAAGTCTCTGCTAAATTAATATTTTTAAAATTAATTGGTTTCTAATATATCCTCTAATATATCTAAGATCAATGCATCGGCTGCAGATTGATCACACCGAACACGTCGCCGTTTATTAATCACGCCGGTTATCCGCCGATACTCATAACGGCGGAATAAGCCTGCGCCTGAATCTTTTTAAAAATTATTTTTCTTCTAATTGGTCACATAACTTTTGTAATTGTATAATGTCGTGTCAAAAAATATATCGAATATCGGATGTGCTAGATCTTGATAGCACTGATCCAATACCCCTATACCCATTTTCAAATTAGTGATATCGGATGAGAATAACAATAAATTAAATGTCTCAACCAGAATAATATATTAATTATGTTCGAAAACATATCTAGAGCGAATAGAAATCTTATTAATAATGTTTTGAATAAATTTGTAAAGCATTATCTCAAACCTTCAATTTATATATCGAGCCTAATAATAGATAAAATTTTCAATTTTTTTCTTTAGAAATTTAGAAACAGTATTCCTATTTTCACAAAATACACCTAAAAAACATAACATTAATTAAAAATAAAAAAGAATAAAATGTCTCTCAAAAGAAGCCAATAACTGTATTTATGTAAAAACAAGGCTAATTGTTTTGATTCTTTATTAATATTAGAATAAGCTAAATTTGTTGATATAACGTTGCTTAAAAAACATTTTCAGAAATTTTAAAACCTTAAAAATAACCTAAACTTTAAATGTTTGAAGAATTCAGATATATGTTTTTTATTTTTGATGTCTTATACACAGATTAATGAAAACTGTTTGATGAGTTAAATTTTCCTTATTTTTTTTTATTGATGTTCACAAATTTGAATGAATTTCATGTTTAAAATTCATTTAAAAAATTTTTATTATGGATTATATTTTATTATGATTATAATTTTTCAAACAACTATTTTTTGATATAAATTTACAGTTTAAGATGGTAAATATTATTGAAATCTTTTTTATTTTTTTACTTCATCCCAAAATAAATCATGGCAGAACCGAGAAAAGTCTCAGATCGGGCATATGAATAATATTTTTTCCCAATCTTGGTCTATGTATTAAATAATCTTGGTAGGTCTCATCTAAAATAATATTTTTAAAACTAATTCGTTTCGGACTAATATATCCTCTAGTATATCTAAGACCAGTGCATCAGATGCCAACAGGTCGCCTTTTAAGAATCACGCCAGCTCCCCGCCAATACTCATAACGGTGGCGTAATCCGGCGCCTAAATTTTCTAAAAATAATTTTTCTTCTAATTGGTTACATTACTCTAATTGTATAATGTCGTCAAAGAAAATACCACAACAATATACCGAACATAGGGTATGCTAAATTTTGACACCGTTTTGAAATTGGCAATTAGATGATAATAACTATAATGTGACTGGAAAGAAAACGTTAAAATTAAATGTCCCAACCAGATAGTGTTATATATTAATTGTGCTCAAATATGTAGAGCTAATAGAAATCTAATTAATTATGTTTTGAATATATATTGTAAAGCATTATCTCAAACCTTCAATTTATATATCGAGCCTAATAGAGGAATTATGAATTTTTTTCTTTAGAAATTTTGAAATAGTATTTTCGCACAAAATAAATATACACCTAAAAAAATAAAGATAAATAAAACGCCCTTTGAAAGATGCAATCAATAACTTTATTTATGTATACATGGCCTAATTGTTTTGATTCTTTATCAATACTAGAATCATTTAAATTTGTTGTTATAACTTTGCTTGCAAAACATTTTTAGAAATTTTAAAACCTTAAAAAACACTAACTATAAATATTTGAAGAATTTAGAAATTTTTTATTTTTCTATGTAAAAAAAAGGGGGATTTATTATGTGTTTTTCGATAAAATAGTCAAAAGTATTCGAATTAAATATTTTTGATGTCTTATACACAGCTTAATGAAAACTATTTGATGAGTTAAATTTTCATTATTTTTCTTTTTTATTGATGTTCACATTATATTAATGAATTCCACGATAAAATTCATTTAAAAAAAATTTATTATGATTTTTTTAAAATAATTTTATTTTTTTATATTAGATCAAGATGAATCAATAGCACGTATCGAAATTGGTAAGTATTAATAAAATAATTTGTTTACATTATTCAAATAAATCTAAGTAGGATCGAGTAAGGTCAGAGTCGGGTTTAAGATATGTATTATTATCTTTTCAAATCTGGAATTATGTATTAAATAATCTTGACAGGTCTCTGCTAAAATAGTAAATTTAAAACTAATTGTAACGGAACTAATATTTTTCCTCTAAGTATTATCTAGACCCGTATGTCGGGATATTTTGATCACACCGAAAACGTCTCCATTTACGAAAATCACGGCGGCTTAGCTGGCGTCCTAAGTTTTTTAAAAAAAATAATTTTATAATTATTCTTCTGATTGGCCACATTTGCTTGTAATTTTATAATTGTTCGTCAAAGAAAATGGCTAAATATATCAACAATAATATATTGATAGCACTGATCCGTACGCTACAGATGATGATAACAATAATGTGACTCAAAAGAAAACATTCAGATAGTTTAGTATATTATTAATTATGCTCGAAAGCAAATCTAGAACTAATAGAAATTTAATTGATGATGTTTTGAAAAAATTTGGAAAAAGCATTATGTCAAACTTTCAAACTATACATCGGGCCTAATAGACGAGCTATCAATTTTTATTTTCGAAATTTAGAAACAGTATTTCTATTTTCTCAAAAAGGGCCTACATTGAACTTGTCATTACGCATCTGTGAATGATAATGATAGCTCGAGGAAAATATGTTTTAAAAAAAATTTGTCATATGATTTTCCTGTTCGCGATCTGCAATTAATAGAATTTTAATTTTATACTTTTTATTTCAAAAAATTATCATAGGTGTTGAATTGTCTTCTAGACCTAAGAAATCAAGGAATTTAAAAAAATTGTGACAAAATATCTAATAGAGCAAAATTGAACATCGTTATCGAAATTAATTATAGAATATCATGAACTTCAATGGTTCAATCCTAAACTTTGTGGCGAGAGGCACCGCTATTACTCTAAAAAAAATAGCAGGAGACACGCTAAAATAGGCAATCAATCATAGAGCGAGATTTTGTTTTTCCAAGAATTATGAGCCAAAATTTTCTTTTTAGGTCGGGCTAAGTTATAATTCAAAAGAATTAGGCCGGGCTCTTGTAGATGGGCTTAAGGCGGGGCCTGCAGTCTCTGAATAATTAATATTTACCTTTAATGTGACATTTATTCATGTAAACAAGTCCTAGAAGATGTTCATTGTTTTGGTTTTGTATTATGGATAAAATAAAATAAAATAAAATAAATTAAATTGAATTGAATTAAATAAAATAAAATTTTTTAGTATAAAATGAAACATGTTTTAATAAAATTTTAAAACTTTTAAGGAAACCTATTGATAAAGATCCTGAAAATTTTCAAAAACTATTATTCCTTTCTTCAAAGAAATATTTTTTAATATATATTATATTTTATTACAATTTTTTTTCTAAATTATAGATCTAAAATCATACGGATATATCAAGATTGGTACGCATTAATTAAATCCAAAAAATAAAATTATCCTATCTCTAAATCACATTTTTTTACAAATTGCTAAAGCATGTAATTATCCAATCTATAAGCATCGATAATCAATTCATATGTTTTATAACATATATAAATAACACGGTCGTGGTAGAGGGGTTGAAAAAGTACCCGTGAAAAATTTAGAATTAGGTATTTTACCCTACCCCGATAATTTAGCCCGCTGACCTTTAATATATAATACTTTTGCAGTACTTTTTTAGATGGAATTGTGTTTATAAATAATTAATAACATACGCATCATTTTGAAGGTGATTTCTCCCTTGATGCAACGATATATAAGGTACTGATGATTAGATTAGATGATGGATTAGCTATTCAAGTATTTTGGAATTCAACTGTCGACAGGGAAAATAGCACGGGAAATACTTTATTTTGCGTTTCAATGGAATCCACCTATCCAGGAAATTTTTCAAAAAAAGCTATGATAGTAAACAGCAAAATTTATATTTTTTTTATTAAAATTTTGAGACTAAATAGTATACAAGAGGTATAATAATCAGAATAATATTCGTAATAATACTCTCAAAATCTTGGAATATTTTCTTTTACATTGCTCTTCAAGTTGTCAAAATTATACTCCTAAAATTTCTATAAAACCTATTTATTTTTTTTGGCAAGAACAAACAATTTCTTATACCATATTAATTTTTTTTTTTTAAATATAATATTTAGGAAGAGACATCTCACATTTTTCAGAATGTGAAACTAAAGATCGAATATAGAATATCGATATCGGTATGCTCATTGGATCCAAAAAATAATAAATATAACACCAACCATCAAGTCTACGTAACTGTTCCTTGAATATTAAAGTTTTATATCCTCATATTATTTGGTATTTAAAGGGAATTTGTGATTAAAACGTAATTTTTCTTAACTTATAAATTTAAAACATGGGTTAATTTTATAATCTATTTTTTTTAAAATATTTTTATTTTATTTTTACGCTGGGATATAAGGTATTATATTTTTTTTTTACATTCCTAAAAATTGTGATTATTCCTTCGCTCTTAGAAAGCGTTTAGAGGTTTCGGGTTTGGAATTATGTGGAAAAATAAAGTAAAATTTGTTAAAAATAACAAAAACCAATCGTTTTTTTAGTCTTTAAATTAATTTTATCATAAAATAATTTATACAATAAATGTTATCATTTGTTACTTACTACGAGCAAAATCCATTATTAAGTTTTCCCATTCTTCCGCACTAATATATGTAGCAACACCTACTTAGGCTTACTCTAGCAATAAATTAAAATAAAATAAAATAAGCAAATATAAAAAACCTCTGCAAACAATCCCTTATTAAGTTTTCTCATTCTTTCGCACTAATATAAGTATACTTAGGCTTTCTCTAGCAATAAATTTTTTAGTGGCGTAATATTTATTTACCATTTTCAAATTTCTAGTCAAATAATAATTATTTCTCAAACTCCTTGTCCAACAGGGAGAAAGAAATTGCAAGCTTGTCCAACAAGATAGAGTCCGCCATCAAGCAG